GGGACAGAAAGGAAAGGAGAGAAGCTTTGAATGAGCTGAAATCCTTCAAGGTCAAAGGTACGATATCCTTTGGGTAGACGAATTTTCGATAGATCTGGAAGAGATGCAGAATCATTCCAGTTGCACGTATTTGGTTGGACTCAGTAAACAAGAGTTCGACTGTCCATCTCTTCCTATTACTAAGTTTTCAACACTGTCGACTTGTTATCTTGGTGGAAAATACGGTTTCATTGACACATCAGACAAGCAAATTAAAATGGAATCTATATCCATCACATTACCCAAGTTTCACTTTAACTTTAACAGTAGAGCGTCAGGTTTGAAAAACCACCAAACCATTTTAGTAAGATTTTTCGGTCAACAGAGGCACTGAGGTGTGAAGCACTGTTGTGGCTTGTATCACCCATATGACTTTTATATTCATTGAGAGGGAAATTTTGTTCAGATTACGCTTTGACTTGAAACCATACACGTTACTGGTAATTGGTGGATTGCACTCAAATATGCAGTTGTCAGTCGCAGAAACTACCATCAAACCACTAATAATGATATTTAGCTAGCCTTTATTTCAAGTTTGGTTACCAAAAGACTGAAAAGATACTATTATTTACCCTGATTTCAAGAATCGTAACAGACAGCTTGTAACTGAGCGTTCCGTTAATCATATAAGTATAGATACCAAATTACCGGAAAAAGGTAAGAGATAAGTCGAAATCGAAAGATATCGTAGAAGCTCTCCTACCTAGTTTATTTACACTTTGCGCACAGAGTAAGTGTTGGGGCTGAGAACAACAAACTGCCAATGGAGGTAGTATTTGTTGATCTTGGTAAGGCTTTTGACAAGGTGTTTCACATGAGCTTCTCGAGAAGTTTGTTAGCCTTGGCATAGACGACATGATGAAAAGGTGAATTTAGTACTACTTTCATAATGCGAGGCTAGCAGTAAAAATAAATGAGATGCCGTCTTTGCGGAGACTAGCCACTAGTAAGGTTCGTCAAACCATCATACTAATGCGTCTTCAGTTTCTACTCCTAGTTATTAAAATTTCAAAAATGTTGGCATCATCATTGCCATTTAATGATGATGCTATGATGTACAGAGGTTATTCATTGTCATGAGGACATGAATTCACTACAAACTGGCCTGAATGCAGTGAATGAGTGGTCTAAACTTTAAATTCAGAAAATCAATTCCAGGTACAGTGATACAGTGCACCCAGATCCTAGATGTTTAATCAATACTCGGTGTGTGGCTCGTCATCACTTTGTGTTTAGTAATGACAGTATTTAGGAGTCACTGTTAGACATAATTTGCAACTTTTGACGCTGCGATTTATGGATCCTAAGAAGAACTACATCTTGAATACTGCGAGAAGGCATCAATTCCTTGCTTTGCGGGAGAGGTAGATGGGCTGGAGTGGGCTTCAAAGGCAGTTATTAACTATTTTAAAGGACTTTAGAACTTTGAATAGGGAAAGACATCCAAACCGTCAAATCTCCTTGGGTGAAATTAAGGTAGTTTTAGGCGAACGGTAATTAGTTAATGAAATTAGAATATAAAATTAGGAAATAGATGGGAAATAGGTAATGAATATCTGATGGATTACTTGCAAAGGTGATAAACATTTGCGGTAGATTCATTTCCCGTTGGTCTACTGCCGATAAAATAATCTATAGAAAGGTTTCGTTTCGGATTTGGTAGTCAGGCTATGAACTCAAACGATTCAAATAGAATAAACTTCCTTTATCATTTGGCTTCCTTTATCTCTGCAATATATTTAGATAAGTAGTATCATGTGCTTTTAAAAATCATTTTCCTAGTAATATAAACGCCATAGTTATCTTGAGATGCAGAATATTAGGAAATACTTTTATGTGCATGATTGAAAAAGTATGTGTATTTGAAGAAGTGAATAAGGTTGTTTTAAAAAATGTAAGGTTAAGCTACCCACACATCTCTTTTACAGTGAGTGTCAACCATTATTTGTGTGTGCCAGGTGAAATCTGACTTATGAATAACAACTCGACAAACTAAGTCACAGCATATTGACTTTTGCTTAATATCTTAATGCTTTCTAAAAGAGTTTGTTGACCACTTTAGGAAACTCTGGAGTCGACCACCACCTGCTATACGTCCAGAAATACCACCAGCAACCCAGCCATAGAACTGTCAGTGAAGATAAACTCTACGACAAAAGCAGAAGTGAAGTCCTGAGCGCCATAAAGTTGCTGAAATCCGGGAAAGCGGCAGGACCAGATGGAATTCCACTGGAAGCACTGGAAACAGACGCAGAGACAACAGCGAACATGCTCACACCTCTATTGCAGAAGGTTTGGAAGGAAGGAAGGAAAGGTACCTGCCGATTGACTGGAAGAAGGTTTATCTTGTCAAACACTCAAGGAAGGGAGACATAAGTATTTGCGAGAACTGGCACGAAACCATGCGCCCGTCCCTCCCCACCTCAAGCAATGCATTAAGCCACATCATCCTGGAGAGACTAAAGGATGAGCTGGATTCAAAATTACGATCGGAACAGGCTGGCTGGCTTCAGAAAGTACAAATCACGTGCGGATCAAATTGCAACGCTACTCTACGCATCGTCATAGAACAGAGTATAGAATGGCAGTCAACTCTCTACCTCAACTTCATCCACTTTGAAAAGGGCTTTGATAGGGTCGATCGAGGAGCAGTTTTGCGAGCAGATGCCTTAAAACTATGTTCTTAGTGCCGCAAACCTTCATCAACCTCATTCAACGGTAGTTATATGTTATATGATGATATATACCGAGTGATTCACAATGGGAAGCTCAGTGACGCCTCTGAAGTGGAGACAGGAGACAAGAGTAAGACAAGGTTGCCTACAATCACCGATGATCTTCCTGATTGTGGTTGACTGGACTAGATCGGATCATGCAGCAAACCGTGAGGAGTGAGAATAGGGGAGTACGCCAGACCGATGAAAAGACCCCAGAAGATTTGGATTTCGCCGCCGATGATGATTTATGTCTAATGTCATACACACTTGAAGATCTACAGGCGTAAAGCAACAAGTTGACAGGAAAGGAGAGACAGCGAAAGCAAGACTTCAAGTGAAGGAAGAGAAGACGGAGGTGATGAAGATACCCAACCAACAACAGCATGAACAATAAGCACCAATCACCATCAATGGGGGAAAACCTATAGGTAGTGATCTCTTTCACCTACCTAGACAGGGCAGCATCGTTTCAACCACAGGCGGTAGCACAGACGTATATGTCAAAAAATAGCAAAACATGTCTTCATCAATCTGAAATCAGTGTGGAGATCTACTGCACTCCACTCAGCACAAAGAATGAACAAGATCCGGATTTTTAACACTAATGTCAAATCTGTGCTGCTATATGGTTCAGAAACTTGGCGTATCACTAAAATCACTTCCAACAAACTACAGACACTCATCAACAGCTGCCGTCTACGCTTACTCGATACTGACACTGAAGATCAGATGGCCAGAACAATAAGAATAAGCAACAAGGAACTCACCCTGGCCTGGCAACGAACCAACCAAGAACACATCGCACAACAAAAGTGCAGGAGGAAGTGGAGATGGATTGTTTGGGCATACACTGAGAAGACCATCTGAGGACATCATGCACCAGGCCAGATCCTCGAGTGGAATTCAAAGGGGAAACGACGAGTTGAGCGTCCGAGGTGAGGGTGATATGGAGGAGATGGTTTTAGGAAGAAATGAAAGCTTGTGGGCAGTCGTGTAGCGAGGTTGAGAAGACTACAGAGAACAGAGTGCCCTATGTTCCACTGGGAACCCGAGGGACAAATAATAATAATCAAGAGACAAAGGGACTGAAAGTTACTTGGATCGTGACTCCCACCATTCTTTCGGAATATTCACCAAAACGTTGGCTATCATTATTTGTTTGCTAGTGTCTCCTGAGTTGTATTGCATAGTGAATTCCCAGTTGTGGTTCGGTACCACTAGTAATATCAGAAGCTCGTAAATTAATCCAGAAACGATGTTCAAATAATTAGATAATCCAAAAATAAATGTTGCACATAAAATAATAAAACCATTTGTCACAGACTCCGAAAATTGAAGTTGCAAGTATCACGAAAGAGAGCATGCTAATTCCGTATGAATTGATCATTGAATCTAAGACAAAAAATTTACGTTATTCGCTGTTTTCAGGAAGGATGTATTATGCAGCTCACATTCTCATTATGATTTCATTGATTATCTTTTGTTTTGCCATCTAACGTCTATCTTATGTCCTGCTTGTGACTTATACACATTTCTTCTGTTTTTAACGAGGAGCGGAATAACATTAGGGTAGTGCTATTTATATTTCCTTTTTATGAAAACTATGAATAATCTCGGTTCCATAAAGCTACAAAACTCTTTTAATTTATTTATAAGACCACCATGCCAACACGAGAAAATTTTATCAACAGCCTATGGATAAATTTTATATGAATACCAAAATAATGTGAAGTATGTGAGAGTCATGCATCAAGTTCAAAACACAGAAAAACTTAAATCAATCAGGTTGCCATGGTAATGACACTCATAACTCATGCAGAAATATTCACTTACGCCCAATAAATATAACCATAAACACTATTAAGGCTTTTACAAATTTAATTGGGTACTTAAAAAATTGTTGCTAGGTAAATTCTCCAATCATCTTTCTATATATGTTAGGTTGAATTTTGCTTTATAAACTGGTTGGCTGATAAAAACAAAACAAAGTCACTTTCATCAGCTAGTCAGTACTAGATGCTAATTAAGTGGCTATAAACTAATCAGATCCACTAAGCAAACTACGAAGTCATACCGGTAACAGAAGAATTGAGTTTATTTCTAAAAGTATGATTTCCATCTATCATACAGCTATAAATAATTAAAGTGGAACAATAAATATTGAACGTATGGAGTTGTGTATATTTCCAATTTTCGAATAATTGTTATTGTATATTGAATCGTGCTTAATCAAGTAACCATTTAATGCAAGTGAGGTGAGCTGATTTCTATGCATGGTTATAAATTTGCATGTTATAAAACCAGGGAAATGAGTTTTGGATAAAAAATTGTAACACTATTCAGAAATCATTTCAAATTTCTGATTGCATCAGTAACGAGGATCGGTACAATTATGATAATAAGATACCATATTCATCAAACCAAACTGTTGAACCATAGAACATTTTCGAAACCTGAAAGATGTTATATAGATAAGTGGACGTTAAGCAGTCGAAAAAGGTTATATTGTTCATAACATAGGTCTCTATGCTGGATGTTTGTGAAATTTCTCGAGTGGTGACAATAAACCTCGACTCAGCTGGTTTGATTCATTGGTTTTATTACTTTTTATTTCTTGATATCTAATTTTTAGTCAAGACGTGGGTAATAACTTTCGTCGATATTTTCAAAAGTTAGAATGGGTGTAGAGGTAAGCAGTTCTGATAACTACGTCCTAAAAGATAACTGAACTCTCTTGAAAGTATTAAAAAGAAGTCAACGTTTAGAATACTTAAATTTGTGACTTGTAAACACGAGAATTTCATATAGTTCAATGATAAGCCTTATGCTTTTGGTGTTATTGTATCGAATGATTTGAAAGTAGTCACTTTGGTCTGCAGTAACCTTGAGGATAATAACATCAAAACTGTGCCACTTGAGACACATGTACATTAAATGTACTCATAGGCTAATATTGATAAATAAAGTACTCAAAATGGTGTCAATTTCACTTCAATAATCGATTGCACTCAAGTAATCCCAACTATTAAGGTTACGTATTTATGAAGTATTAGCATCAGATCACATGATATTCATTTTAAAAGTGTCAGTGCTAATATACTTTGTATCTAGTTCCCTCGAACAGTTGGTATAATGGAATTGTAATATATTTTTTCCTACTATTCCCAGCAAGAGTGAATTGTATTAAAGGCGTAGATAGATATACAGAATCGACACAGGGGAAGGTAAAATGATTACGTTTATTCCGTCGTTTTAAATGCAAGGACCAATCGTAAAACAGTGCATCTTTCAATAATAAACAGATGTTCTTTGTTGATGAAATTTTTCGATTTCTTGAACAATATTTATTCCTGACACCGTCGTTTTCATTAAAATAGACAGTAAATCCATTCAAAATATATAGTGAAATACTGTTAGTTATTTGAGGTTGAGCCAAATCATCAGTTACATTAAAATTTATTTTGGAGTAGTTGAATAAATATTACACTACTATAAGGCTTTAACGCAAAGAACTGAGATAAATGTGCTAGTTTTCATTGCTCAGCAATCTGGATAGTAAACTGAAGACAGCCGATACCATGACAAGTCTTAAGTTACATCCACAGAATGATGTTGCAACGTGATACGGCCTCAAAGGTTGCTACGCCACCAGTGTACTGTGGTAAATTTTTGCAAGAGAGCTATATCGTGACTGAATGTAGCTATGTCTGTTAGTATGATATCCATCGGACAGATAACAACAGTTTAATACAATGAATATCAAAGAAATGCAAACAATGAGTAGAATTTATGGTAAAACACTCTGTATACCAAACGGAACTGAAGTCTATCAGTGAGATTCAAGATGCTATACCGGTCATACAGTTTAGTGGAGATACCGCTAAAGGCACCATCTTCGTTGAAGAACGCACTCAAGATTTGCAGATGTGGCGCGATCGAATAGGTCTTCAAAACTGAATACTTCAACAGACACTTCAAAAGAGACATGTAGGTCATGTATATTCACAAGATGAAAGAAAAACCTTTTTAGAGGTATTTCACGAAAACAGTCTCATTATAAGTTGCTGAAGGGAATTTCCCCACTAATTTCTATCCTTCTGGAAAATTCTGTCATAGATAAGATGCTCATGTCAAAAGCAATGATATCTTTCTTCACTCTAAGCGTTTAATTTCATGTTTCATAAATTATACCTCATTATTGCATGCAAACTGCTGCATGAATAGAAATTTATTCATAACCAAGAAGACTTTTATTCACTGTTAAATTTAATGATAAACTACTTGGTATAGTCTCATAACCTGAAGTAAAAGGTTTCTATAAAGTGAAATGGTGACTGTCAAATAAAGTACTGTTTAAGTTAATAAATGAAAGTGAAATGCATATAAAAAAATATATTAAATGAACTTAAAGCTCGAAATTGTTTGACGATTAAAATATTATAACAGATTTTGTAGAAACGTAAGAGTGAAAAAGCTTCAGTTATCACTGAATTAAAAGTAAATGTAATTTTTTTCAATGCAATTTTAGAACATCTAATGACATGATTTTTCTTTAGCGTTTTTTACTGATCTACCCTAAAATAATCACTTTTCTTTGTATAAACATACAGCCTATCAAGTTCAGGTAAAAAGACTACTTAAAGCATAATAGTATTTTATAAATATTATTCATTATCTCAGAATGATTGCTATCTTAGTGTTAGATATAAAGTGTTCATTTTTCCTTACAAATAATCCGGGTTAATATGCAAAACTGAGTTAGCCCATATATCACCATCAAAGATGGTAAGCAGAATGGTTAGATGAAATTGTTGGTTTTGATCTTGACAAACTGTGCTTACTCTTTTGCTTTTGTTGTATGGATATTGGCTGCTAGAAACGGTACAGTTTTTGTAAACTTTTCCAGGGGTTAGGTTGACTACAGCTGATTTTGTTCCGAAACTTTCATTCCAAGATATCTGATAAGCCGTACCATATTGGCTATACTACTACTGGTAGTACTGGTAGCCATGAAACGCGCGGTTGTCTACTTGGTTTACGGTCAAAAATTAAATGTGTCATTAGTAGTACATAGGTTATGTTGGCTTATAATATGTTAATAAATTAAAATGTTATGTAGAACTCATGCACTTCTCTTGAACAGTCGTCAAATAAGTGAACGCAAGTTTATGCATCATTTTTCACAAATGGATGAATTTTATGTTATAGTTCACTTGGTGAACACTGGTAGTTTTTTGTCCTATTAGTGACTCACCAGTGGAATCTACCTGCACTCACAGAGACTCGAACCTTATATCCATTGCTTCGAACGGTAGAGCGTTGTCCACTTCATCATGAAGACGTGAAAGTCACTTAGTGATCAGTGATTGTTTATTGATGCTTCTAACTCCTTGTTGTTACGCAGAGTTGATTTGCCAAACATCTCTTGGCATGTGAGCGCCTATGTGAAAGTTTTGGTACTGTCTAGGAACACCACTCAGCTCAGTCAGGGTAAATCCAGCTGATGAATCCCATATAGGATGAGATGAGTATCCTAGACTTTATTACAAGCCACTTTCAAACGATTCAGAACGGTGATCATTCAAACAATATGTAGACACTTGAATAGGAGCCAATCTACTAATGGAGGCCGGTCACTGGAGTCCAGTATAGCAACTAGATGAGTGTTGCTTCTCAGTAGTGTCAACAGACTTCCTGTTGTATCCTGGATACAAAAAAATGGAAATATAAGATAAATCTCCACTATTCTGTTGTTGTTTACTTCATCTAACCTTTTTTGTCATCGCTTATCCTTGCCTAGTTACTTCACCAGGAAAGGTATTTCGACCCTATTAGTGAATAACAATCAGCCATCACCAAACAAGTAGTCACTGCTCTTAAAAAATGTATGTTTCAATGATCCTGTTACCACTTTCTAAAAATTTCATGGATATTTTTTGTTGTAGCTCAATTTACATACTTTCAAATAGCTTTCTATATGAAGCATGATTCTCATTAAGAATTTTTTCATGTTTGAGTACCCAGGTGTATCATGTTTCAGTTATATGTGAATGATGTTCGTCACAATGTAAGGATCTTGATGTATTCAGTAGAACACGAACACTGGTTTTGATTTTGAAGTATGAATGTTGTTTCAAAAGCCGTTATTTTACTGTCAACCTGCTCTGCAGATAAACACACAACATTGATTAGCGTTTTCTTTTTTGTTGTCTTTGAGAATCCCAAATGAAAAAATCCTTGGCAATATCCAATAACATTTTATAAACTCAGACTAATGAACTCTGTTAATTCAGGTAGATAAAAGCTAAAGATAGGGAGCTGAAATTTGAAGCTACTTTGAAACAAAATCAAGACAACGGAAGAGTTACAAAAACAACAACTTTAGCAATGAGATCTTATTTGCAATCCTTAGTAGTTTGTAAAAAGTTATAACAAAGAAAATTTCACTTCCTTACTTAATTTACTTTCTACAAATGTTGATAACTAATTCTAACATTTAGGGTCGTAGAACCTCAGAAATCATACTTTTAAAAAACATTTTCTTCGCTGATGTATCTATTCTTCAGTAATGCAGTTTAGTCCTACAATGGTAAGCTATGAAATGTCAAGGCTAATATAAAACTTCATTTATTATTTTGGTTTTTAGTTTTTAAAGTGCTATGAAACTTTCCAGATTATAAATGAATCTTGTTCAGAAAAACTAGTGATCTACAATCTTCTAGTTTCATCATTCCAACTGCGGTGTCTATAATAAGACAAGTAACAAAATATATTGTATCTACCTATTCAAAGTATATTCATTCTATCAATAATCCTCAAATCTCGCAAAAGTACAGGCATAAAATCCTTCTGTGAGTAGATACACAACTCTTATACAATTCATTGGATAAAAAAGATTTTCCTGGGGATTATAGTGAGCAATTTCACTGTATTACCTTCCAATAAAATTTTAATTTGATGCATTGTAGGGGAGTTGATATCACTTGCTACACTGGGTGATTTAATTAATCGAAACTGCTGTCTTAGGTATTTTACCACACTTAGTATTTAACAGCACCAAGTAAACACTGACATTTAGTGAAATTGTTCAACAGGCGGTGTTGTTGTAAGGTTAACTACCTTTGGTATGGGAAGTAAGTAGTCATTTAAGTGAGCATAACTGCAATAAAACGTAACGTGCAACAAAAACCTCGTTTTCTTTGTGTCGCTGAAATGATACGTCAAACTTCACAATACCGTTAGTGAAAACGGTGAA